AATTTACGAGAATTTACATAAATGTTGAGCCAATAATGACGAACGCCTACAGTCATGATTCAATTTTATAATCTTAATGAGGCATCTGAAGATTTGGTTGACCGCACAATGCCTGCTTTAGATACTCGTTGATAAGTGCAATTGATGCTAGAGGCACATGCCCAACTATTTTGTTATTTACAACATGACAAAGAGAGTTATCGGAATTAATTTGACCCAAAGTATGACCACCGAATCAACGATAAAGTTTGGATAAATATGTGTGTAAGAGACCTGCGAATAACGGGTGTATTCTCAATTTATTTTTTTGTCATATGCATGGGACTAAAGGAGGCTTGGAAAATTACGGATACTAATTGGCATCGACTTCAGTTAAAGTAAATCAGATAGCAAAAGGTAAGCAGAAGATGTCTTCGTATATCCAGTATCCCTCATCAACTTTTTCTTTGAAATAAAAAGTTTAATTCTGGTACATCATTAAGCGATATTTCTAAGCCTAGCTTTTATTAATTAATATTTCTGCATCTAGCAGACTTAAAACAATCAATAATTAAAAAAAGGTTAGGAAACAGTTTAGCTCAGAACTTTTTCCCGTTAGGATTAACTTTTTCCATACTTTTAGTATATTAGGAGCTATTAGAGGAAGACTCAGGATGAATGCACATCGTACGAAGTCCTCTGCCGTAGTGACCATTCTGATTTCCAGCGTAGGACCATGGACTTGGTACGTTCTCAGACGTTTCGCCAGCATCTTAATCGAAATCGTCAGTAAGTTTTGCCAGACATAGCGCTAAAGCACAACTGGCCATACAGACAAGAATAGTCTATTCGTTTACCAACCTTCTCCTGAAAAGTTGTTATTCTGTCCTACAATATTCTCCCATCTTATATTCTCATTGATCTCCTCTCCTTACCATAACTTTCAACATATTTATTATCATACACTCCAAAATTATGCATTTTTGAGCGGTTAGGTAGATTTACCAGGACAGAATGAGAATTGACACGACTTTCAGCAGTAAGTTTGTCAAGAGATCGATTTTACTTGTCTCTTTTACGAGGTGTTGATGCAACTATGACAGGACACACTGAAGATGCTAATTACAATGACAGTTAAATGCCTAAGAATGTACAAATTCCGCGAGATGATGCTGGAAATGATCATGATTACTCTAGCAAAGGACACCGGACAAGACACTTTTACTTAAGTCTTTCTGAGAATACAGCCAAGTGGCGACAACGAGACCAAACAAGCGAAACGATAATTCTAGTAAAATACAGGCCACAAAATCTTGGCCTCTTTTTCTCCGATTAGTCTGACTAAAGTTCTCTTCAAGATCTACTAATTCTCAGAAAACCTACACATTTTATAGCTAAAATAGGATTAATAAAATACGGTAATTCAGGAATAATATATCCCTTGTATAGGTCACTTTACTGTGGGTGAAACAAGTACGGCTTTTAAAAGCAACCCGGCAAATTTCATGTTCGAACGAGTAAAGGATGAAAGGCTGATTGGCTAAAGATAATCATATAAAATTAATTGAAAATTTTACGTTTACGATATTTTAAGATAATGTACTTGGAAGTCTCTCTTTTTGATCTCTTTTGTCACATCTTCCTTCTTCAGATTAATCGTCCTATATCAATGAAAAAAGAGGTTATCCAGACACGCAATCGGAAGCTTACAAAAGCCAAGCGACGCAAAGATATGGACAACTTTTCAGAGCTAATGCGTTCATCTGCTGGCGGCGTGGCATCGACCTCTACTGCTGGCCTTCTTCCTCCGCCAGCTGGCATAGTGCCGCCGTTAGCCGTCGACATGGTCCATCTTCTTGGAAGCGTCCCCCCAACACCGGTATTCCCCTTCCCGCCAAACACCTGTTTACACTCCGGGCCCTATCTCGCTCCGCATCCACACTACGCCTTTCCTTCTCACTCCCATCATCAGCAGCTGCAACAGAACCACCAAAGTCCAGTCCACTTCTCGCCTGTATATCCCTATGCGGTCCCGATCCGACGGCATGCACTCCTCGAGGAGCAAGACACAAAAGCTGTGTTTGATGTCGTCTCGTTCTCACAAACAAATGCAGCCGGTATAACCGGCAATTGCAGCAATAATACTGCAACCACAGCATCCGAAGAAATTTACGATGGTTTGGCGACCAAGTGCCTCACGAATGGAAACCTGATGGGCTTGGAGCAAAACGCCCGACAAACGGAACCAAGATCTTGTATAGCCAGTACGTGTAGCGAAATGGCTTTTGCCAGATCCATCTCCTATCCTCATCTTCAGAGTGACCTGAGCTCTTCTTTGCATTCCTCAATGGTGGTCATGCCTCCACATTCTTCCCCCCCTCCTCCCTCTTCCCAAGATGTGGCCATTGCAGCTCATCTAACGCAATCTATTGTCCCACTGCAACACCCATTAACGCACCAGGTCAAATATTCTATGGAATCAGACATATCTAGGGAAGAGACCTCCTTCTCTGGGTCGTCGAATGCTGCCTGTTCTCCAAACTTCAGCCCTGTTGAAATCAAGCACTGTAAACCCTGCAGCGGTGTAGTTCAAGAGGCCGGTGATGGCATAGCAGCAGCAACTGCTGCTGCCGCCGCAGTTGCAGGCTACTTTCGCAGCCAGATTCCTGCTACTGGAATGAAAGGCATATTCTACTCAGGATACACGGTTAAGCAGAAGCCCAGAGGCCTTGGGCTGAGGAAGACTCAGAATATGGGGCCTAACAATGAGGACCAATATGGGTATGAAGAGGAAGAAGGAATTGAAGAAGACGGCGAAGAGGAAGACGAGGAAGAAGAAGAGGAAGCAAGTCAAGAGGAGAAGGACGAGGTCGAAATTGCGCTAGAAAAGGGTCAGAATACACTAAATAGTATCCCAATAATAGACATAGCTGAAGATGATAAAGACGATTATAAGGGTGAGCAGGAACCTGGGGGATTAGTAAGACTTAATCAAAATGGGGACATAAATTTTTCTATCAGAGAAAACAGCTACTCTTGTTCAGTAGCTCAGGGTGACAGACAAAGAGTGGACCAGGTGGATACAACCCTCCGTATCAAGCTGGACGGACCTTCACTCTTTTTAGAAGAGCCAATCAACTCTGCTCTCACCACATCGCCTCCTAGGTCAACTTTGTCAGTAGATGTGAATCCGCGTAGAGAGTTAGATCAGGGAAAAAGAACAATGACCAGTCTCAACAACCAGATGGAAATAGAGCAAGGAACAGGAAAGTTAGTACTATTAAGAAATTCTGCACAGTTCAGGAAGACCGATAGCCTCTATATCGAGAAACACTTTTTTCAATCAGACTTTTCAACAACATTAGGCGATATCAGTGACTTGGCTGACCACAACAAAATCTCCCGGTCTACAACAATGGCAGACGAGCAAGGTGTTCTAGGGCAAGGCAGATTGCATATATGTGACACAACAGAGCCGAATTTCAGTGTATGTGACCACCAGGTAATAGGAGCTAAGGGACGCCGGTACGAGGAAACGACCTGTTTAGGCCTGTCTAATTACAAATAGGCGCGCACTCATATTTGTTATACATGTCTTAACTACCTTAATAAAATGAATATAGCAACATATATAAATTGAAGACTGCTATCTTTTAACATATATTGGTATTCAAAAACCAGAACCGTAAGATTGAAAACTGAAATTGTCAAGTGTGAAAGCAGAAGGCTTAGCATGTGGAAATAGTAAAAGAAGAATAGCAGAAAAGCTAACATTTTAGATCATCAGAATATGCTAATAATTTGTGAAGTGGACTATTATAAATAAAGCTTTGATTAAAGCATTTTTTGCATTAAACAAATCGAAGAAGAGGTAAAAATTTGATCTAATTCCAAATCGATCTATTTAGTAGGCCACAACTTTGCGGCATGCCATTAATTTAAGCCTAATACTATAAGCTAGTTATCTTTATTGAGTAGGGTGAATACATCTCATTAGTTATCTTTAGCAAATAATAATTTCAATCTTAAGTACACGCTATTTACGTAGAATATTCGAAGGCACGACATCTTTACAAATTTAAATGACAACT